ATATAATTATAAAAAAAAATAAAAATAATTAAATTAAATATATATTTAAATAATTAAAAAATATTATTAATTAAATAAAAAATAATAATATTTTATTTTTTATATATAATATATAAAATAATATATTTATAAATATATTATTATATAAATTATATATTTATAATTTTATTATTTTAATAAATTTAAATATTTAAATTAATATAAATTATTATAATTATTAATTATATAAATTTATATTTATAAATTTAATTTATAATTTTATTTATTTAAAAAATTATTATATAAATTAAATAATATATTTATTAATTAATAATTAATTTTAATATTTTTAATTTTTATATTTTTATTTATTATTTAAAATTATTAAATTTATTAAATATTATTTAAATAAAAAATATAAATTTTTTTTTAATAAAAAATTAAATTAAATAAATTTTAAATTAAATTAAAAAATATAATTAAAATTTAAAATATTATAAATAACTTTTTCGAATTTTAAAATTACGAAAATATTTTTTTAAAATATTATAAATTTTAATATTTTTTTTATTTTTAAATTAATTTTAATTATAAATATATTATTTAAAAAAAAATATAAAAACGTTAAATTATTAAACTTAAAAATTATATTAATAAATATTAAATATTATTATTATAAATTTAAAAATACCTTTTATAATTATTTATTAAAATATAATTATTAAAAAATATAAAATAAAATAATTTTTTAAAAATTTAAATATAATAAATAAAAAATATATATATATTAATAATAATTTTAATATTTATTTTAAAATAATTAATAAAAAATTTCATTAATATAAAATATTATTAATATAAAATAATTTATTTATAAATAATTTTAATATAATATTTTAAATAAATTATAAAATAATTTAAATATATATTTTATAAAAAAAAACTTAAAAAATACCTTTTAATTTTTAAATATATAATTATAACAGTTTTTATATAGAAACCTCACACATGATATACGGTGAAAGAAGAAAGGTAAAATAAGAGTGCTAAAGGAAGGAAAGGATGGAAGGAGAAAAGGGGGGAAATAGAGGGCCTCCAGGTTATCTGTTTAGTGCTCTTCCGCTGCACTATGAAGCGCTTGAGAGAGTGCCCGTAGTGGCATGACTAGATATCGTCGATGCTATAATGATCTATGCCCTGCTGCCCAGTGAATAACAGCGCCTCCTATGTGACTATCACTATGGATGGGCCATTATGCCTTCCACCCTTGAATGAACCCTTTCTTCGTATTTTCTGAACATCAGTTCACCGTAGCGGACTGTCTGTATTACGCTTTTAAGAACCTCCTTTCTCTCTAATACTCATCGCCAAGCTTTGCAGGATCTAGCGTATAGTTCAAGTTGAACTTATAACTACACATGATAGCAGTGATTATAAATTTGACACCGAAACGACTCGTTCGTTCTATGGAAGACTATACTACGATAATATTCCAGACAGGGGCCTTATTTTACGTTTAAGTTAGCCCTCAGGCCATCATGGACGTGCCTTGCGCTCAGGCACATATCTCCATTATATATAACTTTAGCCCAGCAAGCCATGATCCAACTCTAAAAGCTCACAGACTCGTGTCGGAGGTACCTGAGCTAAGGAATTGGATTCGACATATTTATTGTCGCACGTGTGTGTGTGAAGAGCTAGAGATTCAAACCAATCCATTCATATTTCAACCATACCTGTCGATTCCAACTGCTCATTTATCTGAATACATTCAAATTAGAACAGACCTGTATTATCAAGTATGGAAACCGCAGTTTTCGCCTTCCTATTAATATTCATCTGGTATGTCATCGGGTGCATCTTGGGGTTAGCCTACGCCCTGGCAGATGCAATCTGGAGCGCTCGGGAGAGCCGAGCCCAAGAATTCGACCAAGAGGCACAGCACGAGACCACGCCGCTCATACGGCGTGAGTCTCCAGCACCAGCACCTTGTCAACATGACTGTCAACATGACTCTGGCTACATCACCGACGACGAGTTCAGCTCTGACGACTCTATTGACGATCGCCCGGGCGCTTGAGCCGAGGCAATACTCAACTAAAGAGGCCTGATATATACGGCAGAATGCCATGAGCATGCTGGTAATACTGAGACGCTTAATGGGTTGAAGCAATGGCTAACACTATAAGTTTAGGCACCTAGATAACTGGCAGAAAATAGCTGCTAGAAGAAGCCTACCGGTACCAGCGAGCTGTCTGAAGCTTTGGACGGTTATCTCTTTTGTATAATGGGAGCCGACAAGACAGTAAAGGGATGTGAGTGAGGATTACCGATGCATAAGCGGGGTGAGACGATGAGAAAAGTTTCCTGGAGACACGGTAATGAGATGATGATTCCTAGGACAGCACTAGATATCCGAAGTCGAATTCGGGCCAGCAAAAGGGTCATTCGGTATTCATTTCATCGTTATAGATTACTTATTTGTTATTTCGGCGTATTGTTCACTTTCATGTACATTAATAGACAATTTGCACCCCAAGGTCGAGGTACACTCAGATTTTCTCTGAAAAGGGGGTGATGCATTTTATTCAGAGATGAGTACCTAAAGCTGTTAGTTTTTCGAAGTCTCTTAATATTAATTTAAGGACAGCCTAACCGCACGGTACTACTTAATATCACAAATAGGCAGAAAAGATAAACGTAGTCAGACCGCCTATATGATATACCTCTCGTTTCTCGGGAAGATCTAGTAATCTATATATGGAGTGATTGTTCCTCACATATATTCTTGATAGTAGAAGATACTGTTTAATATTAAAGTGAGCTGACTTCAGTACTGGCTGACTTGGAACTCTTGGCAGTGCATTAATCTACTTCAGTGATGTGAGTATATGTAGGGGGTAGGTGACACACTGCCTACGTAGGTACCTACCACCTATCCGGATTATAGATAAAAGGGGTGAAAAAATGGTCTACGACAAACCAGTCTCACACCCAGGTTCTTTTCATTGAACATGTCATGAAATTCATATTAATATTGTGTTCGTTATCAGGTAATCAAGTAGGCCGTCAGTTGCTACCCCTTTTCTCGTAAGAATATATGGCATAGTAGTCTTTCATACAAGTTTCGGAAGCTGGGCCGCTCTGAGTATTAGGCAACTCATGATACACAATAGCATTCGTCCGCATAGGAACTATTGAGGACTTACTTGAGTACTAGAAGCTCTCAGCATATTAGCTTCATGCTAGCCTTGGCCCTACTTGGATGAACGCTTATGTGTTTTTAAATTTTACCAAGTCTCCATGCCTCAAAATACTTTGCTTGGCCTATCTGTTTATGTTCTTGCCAATCGACCTTTCCATGTGGCCGAACCAACACAGTGGTCAACGATAGATGGTGAATCTCGATGATCATGACGCTGGCTAGATCAGCTCCCAATACACCCAAGTTCCGATGTAAAAGCGAGAGGGCAATAAATAACAGACCAACTATTCTACCCTCTTAGTATTAAGATATGGAATAATTAGATGCTCCATTATTGTAGAGTTCAAGTTCGAGGGTAGAACGTTTCACAATACACCCTGCAGCGTGCGTCATACATACTTGCACTTTCCATGCCTTCCATGTGTCACATAGAGCTAAAAGTACGATATTCTTCAAATGAAGGATCAAGGAGGGCAGGGACATAGAAGAATAAAAATGAATATCAAATTAAGGAGGAAAAGAAGAAAAACAAAATGCTGACTGCAGGGTTCGAACCTACGCATCTTTCGATACTAGTGTATAAGAGAACGACTTAAAACTAGCGCCATAACCACTCGGCCAAGTCAGCTTATCAATTAATTTTACGATCTGTCAACGTGTATTATGTTTGCACCTGAGGTACGTACCTATACAGTTTCCTCCCCATTCATCACTTCCCTATGGCACAGTGTTTTCTCAGAGCGGCAGGTATATTATATGTCATTCGAAGGGATAGTTTCTCGGCAGTAGTTAAGAGCTTGACATTTGACAGTGACAGTACTGTACTACAACATGAAATGAGCTGTGGCAGATTATAAGATGAAACAAACACAAGGCAACATAGGTTAAAGAGAAAGAGGGATGCATAGTGCACACCAAATGTTTCATCAAGTTGGTTTGCCTGGTTCATAGAAGTCACTGTCTTTAGCTGCTTCCGGCTAGGCATCTCCCAATATCTAACCGCTTATGAGGCGATGCACCATTACTAATTCCTAGTCCTGCCAGCGCTCAGCTTTGGTGAGCTTCATGGCTAGTGGTAGCACACCAGGTGTATAACTTGGACATCCCACGTTCGATTCGGAGTGGAGCTGAATTCTGTATTTTTGCGAATTCGAAATCTCGTGGTGTGTTTGATGGGTGACGTGTTATAGGGGATTCTAATAACATTGACTTCCATGTTTCTAGACAGAAACACGATGGAGAAAGGAAAGCTTCATGGTGCAATGGTAGCACGCCGGGTCCATAGTCCGAAGGTCCTTCGTTCGAATCGAAGTGAAGCTAATCTTATTTTTGGAGGATACTTCTCTTAATACGTGTGATGGGCAAATAAACAGCTTATAGGGCATCATGTTTTTGTTAATTTACGTAGCAGCCAAAAAACTCACGGAAGAGCTTCATGGCGCAGTGGTAGCGCATCGGACTAATAGCTCGGGGTCCTCTGTTCGAACCGGAGTGAAGCTCAACTTTCGTCATTTTTGTCTTGTCCCCCTTTATCGTACGCGACTTCTAGCTAGCTACCCAAATATGCATTTCCGGAGCTACCTGATAGGTAACGACTCATAAGACAACACATCATTGGCAATCATAACAAACCCTGAGTTATGCTGCTCTTTTTGTGACTGTTCTGGTCAACCTACTTGTGGATTTATTTGCGAGTCTGCTTAGAAAAATGACCACCTCCGGAACCCATTTCCGGCTAGCCTCCATTCACGTAATTCAGTTACAACTTAGCTTCGTGTGGGCCATACCGGGCCATAAGTCGGAACCACTTAAGTAATATTTTTTATTCAGTTTATCAAAAACAAATGTACATATTCAACTCGCCGTCATCTCCCCTGCTTATGATCTTCACTTTCGAGCACTCATCCTGCATGGTTACTCCAGCCTCGTATCCGTTCACCGTACTAGTTAGAAATTAGCGCTACAGCAGTCGCAAAGGAATGTAGGTGTGACTCACGTGGTAGAGTATGAAAGGAATAGGGATGAACAGTACAGTAATACTACCAAGCAGAGAGTTGCCTGGAGCAATGCCGAGCCGGTCGAATAACGATGTTGCCTAGTCAAGAATTAGTATCAGCTGACAGCGAGGATGGAGAAGACAGGCATGTTGAGACGACTCACGAATAGCGGGAAGCTCGCACCAAATGCAGCGCGAAAGAGAGTGGCCCCGGCAAAGATGGACGCGGCGTACTGAGCATACACAATGCCGATGTACATATACACCGAGTTAAACAGTGTAACAACGCCTATAGCGAAGATGCCGGAACCAACAACGGGGACCATCCAGTGTACGTCTTCTCGTGACGTCCAACCGTACCAAAATAGGCAGATAGGGAGTGAGAAGCATCCAATGAATGTCGGCGGGAGAAGCATCTCAGGCTTGAACTTGTCCGACTCCATTGCGGGGACCAGAGACTTGGCGATCCAGAGGAGATAGAAGGGTGCAGTGAGGGCCGTAAACACCAAGATGCTGAAGAACACCAGTCCCTGTTCCCCGGGACCAAAATGGTATATGTCGCCAAATACGAGAGGGAACGACTCGAACCAGACAAAAAGTATACCGTAAAGGAGAGCGGCGTACAAATCCATGAATAACACGATAGGCTCGGTAAATATGAGTGAAAACGCTCTACCGAGGAGGATAAGGTTATCTTTCGGTGTATAGTGCGCCGAATCAATTTCGGGTTGACTTTTCAAACGATTATTTCCGGTGGTCTTTCTAAGCCTCTTTGCTCTGTTATAAAGGATGTTCGAGGCACTGGTCTCCGGGAAAAAGAAGAACATAATGATGAGCGTGAGGCTACACAAGAATGTGAAAACCCAGATGGTCCAGCGCCAGCCCATAGCCGGTGCAAGATATCCGCCGATAATAGGGCCAAAAACAGGCCCAAGAACACCGGCCCATGACCAGATACAGAGAAAGTACGGTACTTCTGTCTGCGGATATATGTCGTTGATAGTACCGCCTCCTGTAGCGAGACAAGGGCTGCCACAGAAGCCTGTTACCCATCGAAAAACCAGGAAGACGGCGATATTCGGGGCAAAACCAACGGCGAGCTGGAACAGAACGAAGGCCAGCAGCGTCCAGAAAAAGATACCGTTGCGTCCCACGCGTGGCATTTCCGACAATGGGGACCACAGCATAGGGCCGACTCCATATCCACTCATTCAAACATCAGCGAAGGTTCTGGCCCAATCAATACGTATGATTGCTTACAACGTAAAGAGTGAAAGGCCTAAGATTGCGACCTCGTCATCGACGCCGAATTCTTCCATAAGGTAAGGCTCGCCGGGAACGTAGATGGAGCTGGCAATGTAGACCGCGAAGTTTAGCAGGCACATTTGAGCAGTGAGCAGGTGCTTCAAGCCGATTAGCCAATTCTGGGGATTCTGAAGCGGCGTACTAGGTCAGCGGTCGTAGTATTAAACGACATATAAGCTGTAGGCCTACCTCTGGATCATCCGGGCCATACCAGCCTACCACGAGGACATCTGAGGTGACATCTTTACCATCGTTGGTCTTCTGCTCATCCGTTACATCGCCTTCTGTATCCTTGTCTGAATCGTGGCTGGGGCGAGAAGTTTGGCGCGAGGAGTTTTGCTGGCATGCTTTCTTCCACAGAGAAGAATCACGCTCATCAGGATATCGCATTGCCTTATTGCCGGAAACAAGGCGCACGAGCTGGCCGAAAACTGTGTTCCGAAACTGAAGCGCCATGTTGGGCGGCGTCTCGATCAACTTGGTAACATGATGTTGGCATGGATTCTGGAATCGCCAGAGAAAAAAGAGGTAAACACTGCATGGTGAAGTTACGAGTTGCCAAGTGCATTGAAACAGCTAAGACGGATTTAAGCATTAAATCCATGGGGGAAAATGACTATTAAGCTGGGTTTCTGATTAAAAAACAAAGAAGCAAACGTCTAGAGAGTTTTTATGTACAATAATTTCTTTCTGTACGACGTTAAGACAGCGTCAAGCCATGTTCTACCCCACCATTTTTGTTAATTCGTCTTCCAGCAATCTAGGTAACTCAACATCCATCCACGTACAAAGGTTATAATAGTGACAGCTATGGGATCGAATCCCAAACCTTCTTAGAACATCATCCTTTAATAGTCTGGTCATACAGGGATCCCACATTGTTGTGTTAATGATGATGCCTGAAACCACGTTCCTCGTATGGAATGAGTTTTCTCACGTGGTTATGGATCTAATCCCAACTTCTGATTAGCCAGGTTATCTTACAGTATTGTCATGTCAGTATGGCCAAAGTAGCTGGAATAAATAAGGGAATAACTAGAATGGGTATAATAACTAAATACATATATATAATAAAGAATATTGTATATGATGCATAAATACTTTCCTCATGCTCCCTCTACCTTTTATCAAGTTGATAGTTTTACTATCCGCCGAACTTATGATATGATTGCACTGGTACGGCGTGTAGTTAACTTAGGTGAATTCAGTCTGCAAAGGAGGATGTAACGCGGAAACCTTAATCATCCCATGAAGTTCTCAATTTAGGATTCATTCTGATGAGCGCGGTTACTGGTGGAAATGGACAGCTGTTTGGAGTTTACGGAGTTGTCGGAGTTCGCATTCTCCATATTCTCGAGAACCGGCGTTGTAGGGTCTCTACCCGAAGTCAAGCAGGGAATAGCGGGTAGAGGGAGCAAGGGGTGTTTGGAGAATGTTACTTTGAAGCTCTCTTATGACCCGGGAGTAGAGTTCACGATGCGGGAAGTTGGCGTGCTAGGGGTCAATGTCGTATGCATCTTCGGGAGTAAATTGACCATGGGATATCAATGGAACACTCTCTTTCGGAGAATATCGGTAAGTACGCCTCATTCGTAGACAACTGAGTTAGTTACATGTCTGGTAATAACAGTGTCCTCGAAACGGCCGATCACCGTATCATTCATACTGCCTTGGAAATATCATTGGTAGGAAACGACTTGTTACCTTACCCGAGTTGTTCTCACTGCAGGAACCTGGGGTATGATGGGGGTACGATGCGGACCGAACGAGTTCCGTGGTAGGTCTAAAACTCCGACAAAAGCCGGAAAGGAACGGGTCCTATTATGATTTGGAGACCTTGGTAATATCCGGCCATCGCCTTGCCGTCCCATGGATTAGAGGCGCATAGGTACTGTTGCCCTCGGCCGTCGTGGCTAGGGGTTGGGGGTTGGGGGTCATGTTGGCTGGTAATTTACATTGTTAGGACAACTGTACACTGTTACACGTAGGCTCGGCTCCCCTTCTTTCTCGTCCATGGTTCCACCGCCTCTGGTCCAAACGGAGCCGCATGAGATTAATTTCTGCTGTGTACAGTACATACGAAGTGATGGACAACTTGAATAGACGCACACCCCCCGTCTCTCCCGTCTGAATTGACTGTACCCAAGATGTCAATCATGTGAATCATTCGAAATACGTGCCGTAGCCTAAGCCTTGGCACCAAACGTAGGCATACCGCATTTGGCAATTGAGAAGGCTAACGGCGCGGCTTCTGACAGGTTTGTACCACGGAAGTACTCGTAGCTCGTGGGAAAGTACCTACACCTACACCTAGGTACACCTACAAGTCTTGGGGCTGGACTCGTGGGTTAATTTGGATATAATTCCAAGTGTGTTCTCTGCGGCTGATGTGAGCAAAAAGGAGGTGACCATCGGTTGATCATGTGCGCGAACCATCATGCGGTGAGCGAGGCAGGATAGGTTACAACGCGCAAGTGCTTACATGTAGTTGGAAAGTATTCGGCGAAGAGGAGGTATTCTATCTCATCGCCAAGAGAGAACATCGAGCTAGTCGTCCCTTGGTTGCGGCACAATTGGGAAATTTACAGTTCTAGTACATCTCTCAAGTTTTCTCCTGATATTCATTCTGATATGCGCTAGCTTAACTTACTAAGAACTTGGTTCCAACGGTGAGGGCGTGAGTGAGCACTAAGCTTAGCTTCCCTTGGGAAAAAAGGAAAAAAGTTGAAAGGGCAGTCAAATCGTTCAAAATGTGACAGGTCATAAATTCAGTTTGTGACAAGAACAAGGATCATCCTAAGCACCCCCTGTTGGATCGTCCCGTGGCCGTGCCCATCGTTGCGGTTGGGAGGCGGAGCTTGGGGGATGTGGTCAGAGCTTAAGCTAAGCAAAGGTAGATCAGCTAAATTTATGAAGCTCCAAGGGAGCTCGGGCCATGTTGCCAATTAACAGCCCACTTTGCCTAGCCCCTTGTCAAAGTTGAACGTTTCTTGGCGGCCTTGGCAACTGAGAGCTGTCCAGAACAGGACTGAATTAAAGATTTCGCTTACCAAATATAGTAAGACGAGCACTAACCTCATCCTCTTTTTTTGTCATTTTGGAGATTTCTCATCCTCACGGACCATGCTCCGTACTCGATGTGATTTGAGTTCGCATATACGATCCATACGAGCGTTACGCTACTAGGTATTGTTACATA